CCATTCACGTGCATGTATACCGGCTTCCAAGAAAATACCCGGTTTCTGTTTCAATTCATTCAGATAGGAGATTTTGACACCCAAAATCGAACGTTTCTCATACGATTTGCCACCCTCGATCAATGTTACCACACCGGGATAAGACCTGGTCAAAGATATCAGCCAATTATAATTGCTATTCAAAGTTTGATATGCTGTCCAACGATCCCCGGTAGCGCGGTTCGCAAGTTGCGCATAATCCTTATCTATAGCGTTTTGTAAATTCGCCTCCAACAGCTCATATGTGATTTTATTGTTGGTCAAAATGGCGAGAAAATTTGACACCCTATTTGGCGGTACTACCACATTTATTGCGCTCTCCATTTTGTGCACTCCATCTAAGAAGCGGAGAACAACGTCTGTGTCCTCCATTTGTTTGAGTATTTCCAAGCCTTGGAGATCGGTCGCCTGGATCTTGTACACCCGATAATTGTCATAGCGTACGCGTTCAGCACTACACGTCTCTAGCACCACCACCGTTAGGCAGAGCAGCGTTATTAAACCGATCTTCAGCGACATTAGTTTGTTTAGTTTGAAAAGGTATTCGAAACTAATTTGATATAGAATAAACGTCGCGCATTTATAGATTAAAATTCTTGCATTATCATAATTGTGAGTCTTAACTCTTTGAATTTTTTTTTTTAATCCAACTAACCATGATTTACCTACTTGCGCTAAATATTAAATTATGTCTGATAAGCTCACTTTATTGCTGATATAATATACTATCTGTATATAATTTATGGTGAATGTAGTAAGTTTCAAATTGATTGAATAATACGCACTTGAAAATAGGACCACAACTAAAATAGTGTTACTGAGAACAATTACAATAATTAGGAGATTACACTTTGAAAAAATTTTAACCGGATGTATAATTTTTACCCTACAGCAATTTGAAGCCCTCTTCCAGGATCTAATATTTTTATTGAGCTAGTTTCAAAGCAAAATATCGGAATACCTATTCGCTTTGTAAATTAATGCTTTACAATGAAGAAGAAGAGCTAAACTATAGCTGAAACGATTGGGTTGGGGAAACATCGAAAATATAATTTAATCCGCAGACATCAGTGTTTCCGTCACTTTCAACGTCGTTTTGCAACATTCATAAACATTTTGCGCCAAAAAAATCGTTCGACCTGCAATCTTGAGCTAGTACTCAAATAATTCTCATTAACTATAGTTGATTTGGGCTTCATTAACATATTACTACAAAAAATTAACACGTTTTTGAAGCTCCAAAGGTCAGCTTTTCGTGTTCTTTTATACACATCTATTTTTATAAAGAAGGATGTGAATATTATGAAATCGATAGATTTAGAAACTATTTGACCGATCATTATGAAAATTGGTATGTTATTTTTTCACGGAGAAGGTTTGTAACTCGCCAATAGGTGACGCTGCAATGTACCGACTTCTGCATAGTTTAACCGATTGTTACGAAAATTAGTATGTACATTTAGTTTTTCATGGAGAAGACGATTATGCTACCCCCATTGACGCAACTCGCCACCTGAAACTTGATTTTGATTTATGAGGTCTTAGTGGATTTATGAACACAAGAGAAACGCTTGCTAAGCAGAGTAATGATACTGATGATAATAAAATATTTAATAGTATACAGGAGTATTCCAATATATTATAAGCTCCGAAACGGACGATCTTCAAGATGGCCCAGCGAGTGATCCTGTAAAGTTTGGTGGCGATCGGAAACATAAAAATGTTTATAATCTTTTTGAGCATTTACTAACTGCATCCAAATATGAAATGCCAGACAATTTCTGCACTATTGTACACGGACAAAATTATTTAATTGGCCGTATTTTCCCAGACGCACAAAATAATTACTTAAATCAGTAAATCAGCCGAAATTAATTTTGAGAATATCATTTTACTAAATTAAAGAGCTTACTCAATAAAATTTAATTATACCTTAGCCACAGCCAAACGTGGCTGGGGTCTTCTAGTTTTACACAAAAAAAAATCGATTCGAAGATCTCGATCTGGAGTCTCAAACTAGTTGGACAGAATTGTTCACAATAATTTTAATAAATTTATGCTTCATTAATATATTACTGCAGAAATATTGACGTTAACGAAGTCAGTCCATCTTTCGATTCTTTCACGAACTCAACTAAACTTTAAAACGACGTTTTTTTTATAAAAATAGGTAGTTTCGGGTATAAACGGACCTCAAGGTAAATAATGACAGACCGTAATACTTGTACAACACAGCACACCTTGGAACACTACTCACACTCACAACATACCCGACCACACTACATAGGATGTCACCACACTAGTTACCACCACACACAATCAACAATAAAAAAGATATGGGATCTTCAATTCAACTTTTTTCGTTTTCGTCTACGACCCTGAGCGCCACATCAACATTTATTTTTCGGTTTTTAATTCGTCAACCCGTGCGATCGAACTACAGCAAGCGACACCTTTGATAACTCGTAATGCTGATTTATTTCGGACATATGCGTTAAGTCGTTACCTATATAAATACGGTCAATTTCATTATAATTTATAATTATATATTTATAACAATAATTTAATATTAAAGCCGTATTAACCTGGTATACAATTCAATAGCATTTTTATTTAAATTATTCATGCGATTATGAGTGAAGTGGTGAAATGTTTTAAGATTGGTGGGGTGTGCTCCCTAACAAATTGGAGAATTTATTCAGGATCCAATAGATAAAATTTTGTAATTGGTCTTGGTTCCGTGCCCTTTTAAGCATAATTTAATAAGTTCCTAAACACTTCGGTAATATAGCTTTATCACGATCTCAACATTTAAAAAACCATCCGCGAGCGCAAAAGGACAAATTCAGACGCTATTCTGATTTACGGGATGAACTCATTTAAACCAAAATGTTTATAACCACGACTATCTTTACTTTACCATTCCATCATCATTTGATCCAGACTGATAAAAAACATTCCAACGCTTAATCCGATTTTCTATACACTTATTATAAGCCTCGGCCTTCATGTGCTTTCCGCAAATATTGTTTTTTTTCGTTTTTTGACATTTTTAGAACGCCAACCTCAACCTACTCTCGACGTCGTTTTTTACAGGACATTCAGATATTTTGGTAGCTAGCATTTCCACGCTTCAAATACAAAATATTAACCAAAACGTGATCAGTCTATCCATAAGAGATTTGGAATCATCTGCCATATCTCTGATGCCGACACGAATATTTTCAAGAATCGTTTCTTTACTTTTGCGAACTTATCGTCATTAGTAGAGGTGAATAGTCGATTCGAATGCGTTATCGATGACTTCAAGACCTTAATTGAATGCATTGTGCTACTAAAATACTTGCATTAGTGATAAAGTAGATTTACTAAAACACTTCTGCAAATTTTTCAACTATTCCCGTAACCAAAAAATTTCATATAGTAAAAATCTCCAGACAAATGTTTCACGTCATAAACAGCAGCTGCCAAACATTGGCAGCCATTGACATTCGGAAATAAAACTTTGCACGAATATAGGGAACCAGATGATCAGATAGTAAATAGGAATTTTTACTTCGTACGAATCGGTGTTTCTCGGTCCGGAACAAGATGATCAGAGATCTATCTCCTATCCTTAAATTTTACTTGCTTACCTTATTTATTACGTTCATACAGTTTAGATTTGTCCATGATGTTGACTTCAATCTCCTTAAGGATTCTGTAATTACAAGTATTATTCTACGTGATCTTTTCAATATAGCTGACTCCTATAAAAAACCAGCTCATCCATAAAATTCTCGGAAGAACTCTATCGGTTAAAATTACAAACCTTAATATAATCAGAAACGTCGCTTCCTAAGTGAAGCATATAAGTTTCGTAAAGAAATCAATCAATTCTTGGGTCTATACCGGACTTCAATGTGCTACAAAAGGCGCATAGATAAATGTCTATTAAATCTTTCACAAATTTTTTTCTTACATTTATCTTCAATGTTTTCTATACATTGTCATTATGTACATATTATTAAAGGTATCTGCTAATTTTCGGGAAAGTCGTTGTCCTTATCTAAATTAATTACGTTTAGATTAATTGTAGATCGTTGGTTAAAACTCTCCGATAACACTATTCGAAATACATAGTCAAATACCATATTTATGTGTATTTTATCGAAATGTTAATTGGAAGAACCCGCTTTATGGCAAAATTGAATAATAACTAAATCTTCTTAAGATTCTAAAATATTAGGTAAGAAAATTGACAAAATCAGATCGATTTAGGGTTTCACAAATCAATGCGTAAAGTCGAGGCCAATGACTATAACTTAGTGAAATTTTGTATTTAGCTTTTCGGCTAACACTCCTACAGGAACATATTACAGAACTTTAACCTGTTAGAGGAACTCGAAATGAATGATATATATTAGATATATAAGATATTTTTATACAGACTGGTGCTTGAAAGACGACGATGATTAAACTTTGAATAGCCAAAAGGTACCGTCGGAGTCCCTATAAAGTACAATTCAAAAGTTTCAGGACTTTTATTAAAAAATGAATATTATTTGTTTTTTTTTAAAAATTTATTGGTCGCCTTCAAAATAGTCTCCTTCCGCCTGAATACAACGTTTTGCACGTTCAAGAAGGTCGTCGCCTTTTGGATGGCATCAACGTCAGCATAGCGGTTTCCTTTCATGGCCAAATGTACATATGTATATAAATGACCAGCACGACTAGTAGAATCGATTTAGCGATGGCCGTCTGGCTAAAAAACTCGCTCATTTGTCGGTACGGCTAATATCAGACAACAATGGCATACAGCTGTCATACAGACCGATCGATGAAAATTATGTGCTTGTAAGGAAAACTTATTTGTTTGCCAAGATATCTTCAAGAAATTTGGCACAGATTATTTTCCAAGGCCACACTACAATCTCCAAACAAAAACTATGTATGCAGCCTATTAAATGAATAGCTTTCACTTTTATTTTATTTTTACTTTTATTCACAAAATATTAAGGGTATTGGTCCGAATACTTTTTGCTTTTGCTTTGTTAATTCGTTAGTCGTTATTCGGTATATCGTTCTACCAGGATAGCAAGCTTGATAATTTTTTCGTTACTTAGTAACATCACATAAGCTGTTTGTTTTGCGTCGTTGGCTAAAAACTTCATTTGATTCATTGCGAGAAAATACATTTTCTTCTTGCTACAAAATAATTTTAGACAAATTTTTCAAAAGTAAGTATTTAATAAAATTTTATAAACGGTTTTGGAAACAAACATACCAGACTACTGAGATAGAGCAAAAAGTATGCTTACAGTTAAGAGTTTTAACTAAGTATTAACTAACGAGTTACCAGATTAACATGTTCATTCTGAATACCCCAATTGTTAAAATATAAGAAAGCTTTAAATATTCATTTCACAAAATATCAACTCTAAATTCTGGCCGAAGAACCAATCTCCTTAATCATCGCTAACATAGAATCCATTATCTCCTCACCAGTAGGTATAATTTGATCAGCTGGTAGACGGAAACCCGACCAGAGTGCAGAACCCGAAGGACGCAGTTCAAAGCAATATGAGTAGGGTACTTTCATTTTGCCATAAGCCCAATCTAAGCTGGCACCTGCAGCTGGATAGATGGCGTCATAAACATTACCGCCAGTATATATACTGCCATATCGTTTCGAAACCGCGGAAACAGCCACATCGAAAACACGCTTCAAATCCTTATAGTTTGGTGGCAGCTCACCCGTATGTCCATAAGGGAAAAGTAAAAGTTGTGAATACGAATGAAATGATAAGTACAACAGTAATTGTCCCTTCAGCGTGCTAATGTAGTCGGCTAGAGTACGTGTTTCAATCTCTGAGAATGCCTTGGGACCAGCATAAGTCTCCGAACAGGGATTGTTACTGGAGCCAACCTCATTCCAATGAAAATCCCAATTACGATTTGGATCTGCGCCGAAACAGTTGTTATATGGTGTTCGTGTTTTACGCCACAACCGATTGGTGGTATGCGTATACACATAACCATCTGGATTGCTATGCGGCACCAGATACCATGCGTAGCTTTCGGCCACTTTACGCACATCAGCGTTGGTGCTCGTCAGCAATTGATTAATAATGTAGGTTGTAGTAGCCGGACTGATCCATTCGCGTGCATGCATGCCGCCTTCGATGAAAATGCCGGGTTTCGTTGCGCGAGCTGCTTCATCAGCGCGACTGCTACTATAGGATATCTTTACGCCTAATATTTCACGTCCCTCGTACGACTTGCCGGCTACGAATAGACTCACTTGCTCGGGATACTTTTCTGTTAGCGTACGCAACCAGGCATAAGTGTCGTCCAACTCATGGTATTCACGCCAAGTATAATCACCGCTACGCCGATTGGGATCTGCCACAAGCTCCTTCTCCAAATCTAAGCTCGTCTGTGCGTTCTCCTCGATCAGTTGATGCGGTACATCGGCACTTTGTAGTACACCCAAAATATCAGCTATACCTTGCGGCGCCACAAGCACATTAATTCTTGTATTTACCCAGTGTACCGCGTCTAGAAAAATAAATGCGTCACTCGTGCCGTCGAGCTCTGTAACGACGGCTAATTGTGCGGGAGTCTTCGGCTGCAGTTGATAGACGTGATAGTTGTCGTAGCGTACGCGCTCTGCAGTCGCGAAGTTATCAACGGCTGCCAAGCCGAGCAATGCTATCAGTCCCAGTTGTTGCCACATGTTGTGTGCGTTGAAAACAAATGAACGTTCGCACCTGCAGCGTCAGCTATTTTATAGGTTTTATCGACTATAGCACCACGGGGCATTTGCTAGCATATAACGGTAGTATGATAAAGCAAGAAAGTTGCTGGTTGTGGTGGACAATTAGAGCAATGAGTTGATGTAGAGTCATAGATATTTTGAGTAAACAACTTTGGTGCCAATAGTGATTAAAAGCTTACACTTATACATATTAAGATATGTACATATGTTAGGGATGTTTATAATCGTAAAATGTTAAAATTTAGAAATGAAGTAACAATTCAGCATTTAAGGAATATAAGAGCAGTTAATGTTGATATAATAGTTTTAAAGATCTTAGTTTAAATATTATAATAAAAATTCTCTCCAACCCGCCCAATGGCTGCTACGAAAAAAATTTGTGTTATGCTCAAAACATTCTGTCAAAGTATATACCTCTATGGTAGTGATACTCGTATATATCAACGTCCGAAAATAGGTACGAAGTATTTCAAACATGATAGTTATCGGGAAATTGATAAATAATCACATACTTTTTTTAAGATTCCATTTTATTATTAAACAAAGAGTCCATCAAGAGCGGTACACGATATCTTCTTTTCTTTGCTATCTTCCAACTCGTCGATATTAAGCCTCGGTGTCGACGATTTCTTTTCATCGATCATTTCTTTGAGGTCTAAGAATATGAAGAAGCCGCTGTGGACAGACAGATCCAGAGATGGTGGATGCGTAAGCTATTTGTAGTCTGTAGTGTTGTAGTTTTGTCATATTTAATATAATAGTTCAAGATAAGTCGGAAGCTCTCTCTCATCAAACGGAAATGAACAGCAAGTCACGAAGCTTTTAACACCCAGAATTAAACATCGGAGGCCCTATAAATATATATATGGGTGATCAGCGTGACGAGCTGAGTCGATTTAGCCATGTCTGTCTCTCTGTATATAGGTGAACTAGAATGCAGATAAATTAATAGTTCACCACTGAACTATCTTAAGTTATAACACTTAGAGAAGTAGCTAGATGGATAATGTTTATATACATACACATACATATACATATTAGGCAAACGCTATAAAATGCGGTTAGTTTATTTTGCATTCGAATAATTTATTATTGAAACAATAGATAATATACAGTAGTCGTAAGGTGGTTCTAAAAATCAAACTAAGGAAAATCTGGTCTCTAACTCATATGCGACCAATAGCCGTTTCCAATCAGGACTAAATTTTGTATACGATATCTTTGGCTATAGTAAACACTGTTTTTGTCGCAGCAACTTTTCATCACTTTATATTTTTAGTCTGTGTCTGGTTTTATTCTGTTGAGTCTATGGCTTCTAGTGTTAAATTGGTGGGATGAAAATTGAACTGGAAGGCGTGGTAGGGTGTCTTTTTTCAATTTAAACATATATTAAGGATTGTTGAGTTTATTCGAGAGTTTAAGAATTGAGGGATTATATCCACTTGTGCAATTCAAAAATTCGATTATTTCATACTCGTATATATATCGAATATAAGCGCTGTTGATAATATTCTCCGAAAATTTTAAATTGATCAGACAAATAATTTCGGAGATATGAGCGTATTTGTAAGAATTTTTAACTGTGTGTAATCGACTCTCAAACTTTTAAACGCGTTTTTCTTGAAACACTGTTTTTACAGACGGTGCGCCACAACGGCTGAACTAGTCGAAATTTGAAATTTTCACACGACTTTTTCAAACATATTTATAAGGTAATAATCGAAAGAATAAAATTTTTTTATAATAATTTAGTTTGGGATGCCAGATAGTGTAAATTTATTTTGTTTTGCTAAACTCGTCGTTTTTTGGGAAGCCGCCATTTTATCAAAAATCTAAATTTTAACTAGTCCTTCGATCATTCATCTATTTAATACATTTTTTGGCTTTTGAATTTAAGATAATTTTATGCAGAAAAATCTTCCTCACCGCCAGATACCTTTTTTCGTAGGTCCCTTTGGAGATCGGCTCCGGGAAAACAGGAATCCTAAATTTTTCAAAATGAATAGCTGATTATTAAAGTATTGTACATCCAAATTTGTAAATATACATTTCTTTTTGTTTATTTATCAAATCCTCCCCGATAAAAGTTGGCAAAAATACGCGTTTTCTTGTCACTGAAACTATGAGAAATATTATAATTGTGCGCGAGGATTTGATTCAGATGTGGATGTATGCTTTAAATTATGATAGTTTGCTATGTGATATCCTAGCAAAGAGCAGTTGATTACTGATAGGCATACAGTAGTAGCGACGTAAACGATTGATTGATTACCAAAACTCATACCATTTCTAAACCATTTTTTTATTTTTGAAGATAGAATTTTGTCAAGAGTATATAAAGCAAATAATATGCTTGAAGCATTCCATAACTTTTTCATTTATATATTAGAGAAGTCATATATTTATTAACTAGTTTAAACAATTTTGTTCAAAATCGCTATTTTGTACTCATTACTCTATTTTTTACTCCATCTTATGTACTTGCATTATTCTTTTGTTATATTGTATATATCTATATATAGTATGTATGTATATTTATATTTCTCCCAAACCTTCATTTTTAGCTTCGCAGCTCAGGAAAGACTTCAACCCAATCTACTTGCGAAAAATGTCAGTGAAATGGCTGAACATTTGAAGCTGCTTACCGGCTTCTTTCTCTACCCTTTAGACAGGTATAGCGATAGCGATCCCCGACTTGGTCAACTTCATAATATACTGACGAGCATGTATAATGGCAGCGAATATCCAACACGCGAAATACTTTTCGACTTATCGCCCGACTGTCCCGAACTCATCATTAGTGGTATGGTTTTCGGAAAGACAGTAAATATAACAAAATATTTTGAAAAACGTTCGATATCGGTGGGTGCATGTTGTCTCTTCAACTATCGTCGCGAAACTTATACCACGAATAGGTATGTGAGTAAGACGAAAAAAATAAAACACTCTTTAAATTAGTTTTTTTATTCTCAGCATAAGATCTGCCTTCACCAAGGCCAATAGCAAGTTATTGGAAAATGTTACATTCGAGTCTAATTCCCTACTAAACTCGGTACAATTTGTTATACAAAGCGATTCGAATGATTTTTGGCATACCGAATTCACCAGTTATGCATTTCGTGTAAGTCGATTGCGTTTAATTTGTTCTCTTGATTTTCCAATTATTTTACAGCTTTATTTGTTTCTACAAAATGACTATCCGACTGTAATGACAAATACCATGGGTGAGATTTTGGTGAATCCTAGAACTTTAGTGGAGATTGCAATACAGCCGTCATTTTATGAGGCCTCTCATGCTATACGCAACTTCTCACCTGAGCTAAGGCACTGTTATTTTAAGGATGAGGGAGAACGTTTGCTAAATAAGTGAGTAATGCTATAAATACAATAGATAATTCGTCATATAAATTTAATGACGAGTATTTACAATTATAGTATGTTATTGATATTTCAGAGCCATGGCTTTCGCTTTCCTTAGATATTTTGTTCATTTTTCTTTGTCGAAATCTTATTTAAGGAGGGAACTAAAAAGCTGATATAAAATAAAATCTTCAGAGATGGCTAAGCTATTCCTTACTGGTATTGTTAGTGGTATTTATAATCTTGTTTTTAACCGTTCAGAGTAGAATGTATGAATGTAGTTATTACGGCTGATCCTCTCTTGTGTAATGACAATTATGGACTGAAGAGGCAGATAATGTATAGTAAACCTAGTCTCAGCCTAGGACAGCTTGGAAGGAAGTACTGATATTATTCTATCCTGCTACCTTTCATACAACTTCGACAAATGTTAAAAAATGTTGCCATACTGCATGGGTGCCGATCATATAATGACCGGTGGAGTCCCTATGAGTTCGTAGAGACGAACACCAGAGTAGACAAACCTTGCGACCTCGCAATTACAGATATTTGCTCAACGACGAGATTTAAAGTTCAGCCTTCCCTTGCGAACTCATCAGTTTTGTAGAACCCAGCGACTTCGCAATGCTCAGCACCCATATAATTTTTATTGTGAAATAGTTCTACCCAAATATAAATGAGGTTAAATACTCCTTACGTTCAGCGATATGAGAACATTAAATCAGTATTTTCCTGCTGTCGAAGTGCGTACTCACCTCCATGATGAAAGCTGCACGGTTAAGCTGCAGATCTACTAGATTGATACCTAGATATATAGCCTAAACTTAGAATTATCACTTTACTAAACTTCTATTAGACGTAAATTTGTAAGGCATGTTATCTAAGGAAAATGAAAAGAAGACTCGAGGTGGAGGATTCTAATTTTATATTATATACTTTTTATTTATATACTATTGTAAATCTTAACCCTATAGATCCTATTACTCGCACGATGAGTGTCTACTCATTTGTCGCATGCAAAGTATGCAACGGTATTGTGGTTGTGTAAGCCCCTTCCTCGCGCCATCACTCATCAATGCGAGCGTCTGTACTCTATTGCAATTGCCCTGCCTCTCAAACTGGTTGCGTGTGTTTACTCAATGGTCTTACTTCGATTATGTGGAGCAGCCGCACGGTTTCGATAAGTGCAACACTTGTATGTCGACCTGTGAAGGTGTCGACTATAAAACTTACCTGAATTACATACCACTGCGTAAAAAAACCGGCAATGATACGTTCACCTTTGGTTTGCTGTGCGTAACAGAATTCATGCGACATTCCGAAGTATTTACTTTATTTGTTTGTTATAGAGAAGGTCTTAATAGCGACGAACCATTGGCACTAGTGAAATTATTCTTCAAACAATTGTATGCGGAATTGACTTACATAGACATTGTAGGCGATTGGGTTACGTTGTTGAGTGAGTACCTCACACTAGTGTTGTTTAAAAAAAATCTTGAAAATATTTTGTATTCCAGGCCGTTTCGGTGGCATTCTATCGCTTTTCTACGGCTTTAGCATACTAAGTTATATTGAAGTTTTTTACTTTATGAGTGGTAAGTGGCTTGTGCTTATATATAGGGCCTGGCAGCTGGCGTATATTCCGAAAGAGCGGCGTGACAACCAATTGCTGGAGAAGAGCGCTGAAAAACGCATATTTTCGTTGTATTGGAGTGAGTTGCAGCCCAAAACTGTTATGTTGCAGAAATACCCAAAGAATATTAAATGGCAAAATCATTATGATGATAGTTATTAGCACTTGATACAATCTGAAAGTATACGAGAAATGTTGGCACCAATAAAAAATACAATAAATAAAAATTCTATATTGTAAGAATATGGAGACTTATTTTAACTCTGACCTTAAAAGTTCAAACATTGATGTGTAACTTTAAATGTATTGTTTTTGTTGAAGCGGAAGAAAAACATAAGCAAAATAATTTTGCGAATACAGTCGAACTTGCAGTCCTTGGTTGCTTATAAATCCGGGTCCGTTCCGGTTACATATACTTGACTATCGTACGAACTGTTGCTTAAAACATGTTTCTCTCTAAAGTTAAAGTATTTTCAGAAATATATCTCAGCGGATTGAAATAAATTATTTATATTTGACCAATAAAGAAAAAAAAATTGTTTAAAATTTTTTTTTAGAAAAATCATCTTTTTTGATGAAAACCGCCGGATATAAAAATCAGAAAACCCAAACTTGATCTTCGGGAAGTTTTATAAAAGACACTTCCTAATCGGAAAGCAAAGACTGCGGTTGGGCGATCTTTCAGCACCAGGTGCAGTAATTTTATTAAATGGCATCATCAATAAACTATCTGGGAGGAACAATCAATGTATTGTTCATTATCTTTAGGCAAGTATTGGGCAAACCTTTCATAATATTACCTCAGAAAGGATCCCCAAAATACCCAAGGAAAACAAGATTAACAATTCCTACTACTACGAAGACGATAGACAAGCCCATGAAATATAGACAGGGGTGTAGTCATGGATGTTAAAAAGAAAATTGAGGTAAAACTTTGGAAGGTCGCTTTATATAGATCATAGATAAAAAGCGTTGAAGCTTGTAATGAAAACTCTGATTTCAAATTCTGAGGAAACAAACTGATCCTCTAGAAGTTCCAAAGTTGTTGTTGTCGTAGCAAGGTATTAAAATTAGGACCTTCTGTTTTGCACAATTATTTATTTTTCGAAAACCCCAAAATAAAGCGTGGATTCCACAATAAGATACAAGACTGGAAGACATTGGTATACAAGATCACATAAGGGTGATGCATTTGCAGTTAAAATTTTTTTTTTTGAAGTGGGCGTGGTCCCGATCTCTAATAGGTTTAATGTGCATATCTCCTAAACCGCTAAAGCTATAATAACAAAATTGACTGAGAACAAATGTTTTAGCACCTCTATCGACAGTGCGAAAACGGGTGAAATCGGGTGACAACCCCGCCCACTCCCCATATAACGGTACTGTTAAAATCTACAAAATTAGACGGTAGGCGTGGCACCGCTCACTTTTAGGTGAAAACTCATATCTTGGGATCTGTTTAACCAAATTCGGTACATAACATTCTTCTCATATTTCTATGTTATAGTGCGAAATCGGAAAACAACCACGCTCATAAAATCTGAATAATGCGTTTATGCTACCTTGTGACCAAAAATTGTCTAAGTCGAACCAAAACTGTTCAAGCCCCTAGGTACTGAATATGTGGACCCCAATGTCTATAGTTGACTTTTACTGAAAATATCGGTCAATGTGTAAGATATATAATTGAAATTCATATAATAAAATGAATAAATGAAACTCTCGCTAATAGTATCTAGTACTCTCGATAGTAAAATCGTATCAATACTTCCTTTAATATAAAATTTTGCCAACACCTAAAGTAAATTTCCGGGCTTTGATCCTTGCAAGTTGCGAGAGTGTAAAATGTTCGGTTACACCCGAACTTATAACTTCCTTACTTGTTTTTTATTATGTTGATATACATGCAACTGAAGTACAATAAGCTTGGCATTTTTCTTGGTCAAAACCAATACTGTAACGATGCCCCAGCCTTCATATTCGCTAGACATGGCTTCGTGTGACTCTTCCCATTTACAAAAATAAAGAGAACCTAAAAGGGCCGTCGTTCTGCAAGATAGATAAATATCGCGGAAAGAGCTCAAAGCTATCCTAGGAGAAGTGTTTCGACGATTAAAAGAAGCGCTGGCAGTACATAATATCATATGGGATGACAACATTAATGTAGACGAATTAATAATTATATTCCCGTTATTTTTTTAACACACCTCATAATATCTAGGCTTAATTCCTATGATCTTCTGATATTAAGGGTTGACAACCCCGCCTTCCCGTTAAATATTAAGGTTTTAACGCTATCTATAACGTCACTAAATACGCCCTCCCATAGCTAAAATATTATCCATTCCTTATAAAATGTTTAGATCAAAATGCCGGAACTAACAGCTAAACTTATAGGTGTGTACACAAATATTTACATTTAATACTCTTGCAACATGTTGCCACAGACTATAATTGTATTGTTAACCTAACGGTTGTTTGTATCACCTAAAACTATTCGAGATAGATACAGGGTTATATATATATATAGATGACGACGCGAGTTGAAATCCGGGTGACTATCTGTCCGTCCGTCCGTATGTTTGTGCAAGCAGTAGCTTGAGTAAAAATTAAAATATCTTAATGAAAAGCCATTAAACAAAAAATCATAAAGTGCCATAATTACTAAGTGCCATAACTACAGAACTCAAATTTTGCACAACGAATCTCAATAAGGTGGGGCATTTGTGGTTTGAAAAGCTTTGAAAATTGAGAGTGGCCACTCTCTCTTATAAGCTAAATGTATATAGTTTTCAAATCAATAAAGCTATATCACCCATTGCACAGGGCAAATGTTTTCAACTCTTCTTACGATAGTGTGAAAATAGGTGAAATCGTATGATAACCACTCCCAATCTCCATGTAACGGTTTTGTAACAAACTACTAAAAGTGCGATAAATCAACAACTAAATGCGTCAGAAACATTAAATTTTACATCCAGGATGACACAAGGGGGCTTTATAGGTGAAATCACTTATCTCGAGATGTGCTTGACATAACATTCTTCCAATGCTCCTATGTTAAAGTGTAAAAAGTGGACTACAACCACGCCTATTTCCCTATATAACACAATTTCTGACAATCTGATTCTTTCACATTCCCGTACATGGTACAAATAAAGCACGAATTAATATAACTTTATAACCCATATATCGGCCAATATGTAAGTTATCTTAAAGCAAATGAGAAAGCGTGGTTTACTAATTACAGTGCTTCTTTGTGCCTAAAATAGATAAAATCGGGGGAAAACTTGATCTAGTCCCTATATAAATAATATCAGAATTTTCGAACATCCGGCCTTTACTCCATATAAATTGGTGATTCTGTGTGAGGTACTTTAATGAAACCCTAAGAGCATTCTATTTATACCTGTCATGTTTATGGTATGTGGTTTTAGAAAAAATATATAAAATCGAAACAAATTTTATGCCGAATATGTCGTCAAGTGTGTGAGTTATAATTGAAAAAATTGCTTGAAAATATGTTCTTAAGTATACCTGAGCATTGTCCAAATAAATGCAATCAGCCCGTCCTTTTCTCTGCCCCCAATATAGCATATATAATTTCTGCATTTTCCTTTACACCTAACTTTCAACCGTTCAGATTATTTAAGGTATGATATTTTAATGAAATTAAATCGCCAAGTTTTCTTAAAAATTATGTCGTTTAGCACTGAATTAGAATGGAGTTGGTCTAAACCACATATTCCTAATACAATAAATTCCGATCCTCTGGTTGACGTTTTCCACATCAACTCAATATATAATATTAAATTTAGCCTCTTCGGTCGAGTTGAGTCCAATGATCTACAATATACCCAGTAATAAATTCATAAACTGGACACTTAAAAACATCAAAGTTTGCTAAGACATCCAGGTCAACAAAACCTTGTTTTTGTAAAGCTGTGTAATACATACATATATGGTATGTACCTATGTAAATAATATTTTATCCCTTTTTTACATAAATTTAATATTATATCAACCTCTTTATGTACGAACAAAGACTTTTGAGAAACCAACCAGTGCCATTATTAGAACCAAACAAGTTAGAATATTAAAAAAGTAAAAAAAATTAATATACACACAAATGTGATAAAAAATAATTAAATAAATATTATGTTAAAGTTAATTTTATTTTTTCTTTCGATAAAATTTGTATTTATTATTATTATAACTTTTTATGTTGATCGTAACTTGTGAATAAAAATGCAACTCTGTGTTATTTTTAACGCGACAATCGTCTGGCAACACGAGTTAACCGAACGGATATAAAGAACCGTTAATTTATATCCCACTCTATCAAAATTAAGTGGGGAAGCAGTGTGCTAATATAAAGTTTTCGTTCCGAGCTAATATTTGTTCAGTGTTAAAATTAAATACAGTAATTGTTGTGTGTACAAAAATAAATCAACCAGGAAATGAGCTCGTTAATATTAATAAACTATTTAGAGCAGCAAGCCAAAAGCAACAGCAAATTGCAAGAACTGTTAGCACAGACGGCGCAGTGTTTGGTGCGCAAAGACGAGCAACGTAAACTGGAGAAAGGTAAGCACTAAGGAAAATAGAAAAATAAAGTGTTAACATAATAAATTCTTTACAACAATTGAAATTTGTTTGCAATTAACAACAACAACTGCTTAGAATTATTACAAGAGACGCTAATCAACACAATGGACGTCTATGAATTGGAAAGTATTATGAAACAGTTAAAATTACAATACCAACAACAATGCGCGGTAAAAGAACAAATGTTAACAGTTTACAAACATTCCGTCGAGTTTTGTGTGCAAGTACAAAATATTGATTGGAATTCGCAATTGCATTGTAAACTGGAACTAATGCAATTGCAGTGTCAGAATGAGATGCGCGAACTGAGCGAAGAATATGAAGAGGAAAAGGAACGTAGGAAAGCGTTGGAACAGCGGCCAATAGGTGTGTATGTTTGTATTTATACAGGTAACTGAAGGTGGGAAAGTATAAGCGATGATAATGCAATGAGAGTAGACGTTAGAAATTAATTTAGATTTATTGAAACTTTATTTGTAGGATTTTAAAAAATTATTTTATCTATTATTTATTTCTTTATTAAATTTATTTATTCATTATTTTATTTTATCATTGTGGCATATAAATGATTAGCGTAACTAGCTGAGTCGATTTAGCCCTGTCCGTCCGCCTCTACTTGCATATACGCGAACTATTATCTCAGTTTTTGATATAGTGATCTGAAATTTTGCACACGCCCTTTTCTCACCAAGAAGCTGCTCGTTTATCATAACCGCCGATATCGGAAAACTATAGCATATATCTGCCAAACAAATTAACCGATCCAACTCAAATTCTTGTATGGAAAACATTTTATTTGACAAAATAGCTTAACGAAATTTATTATCTCAGGCATTGCTACAATCTCTGAATAAATAATTCAGATCGACCCATTATAGCATATAGCTGCTATACAAACTGACAATCGGAATAAAGTGCTTGTATGGAAAACTTTTTCATATGACGAGATATCTTCACGAAATTGGGCATGGTTATTGTCTAATGCAATGGTGCAATCTCTGAAGAAATTGTTGAGATCGCATCACTATAGCATATAACTGTCGTCAAAAATGGCATTTCAAAATCAATTTCTTGTAAGGAATCACTTGTATTTGTGAAGGGTATTATAGCTTCGGTGCAATGGAAGTTAACATTTTTTGGTTTGTTTATTTTTATTATTTTTAATATTTTTAAACTTTTTTTATCGTATTATTATATTATAACTAAAATGAATTATTATTTTCAGTTCAAGCAGCACACGCTGCAGAAAAAGAAGTTGCAAACATTCAGGCAAAAATAGATAATGCTAAACAACGTTCGACTGCTTATCAGAGCAAATTATTGGAGCAATTAGACAAGCTCCAAAACAAACGAAATGCTATAATCGTTTTGCTAGTAAAAGGAAGCAAAGAAATAGGAGGAAAAGAAGCAGAGGTAAATACTTAAGCTCTAATTTATTATCAATAAAAATGATAAATTTGAACGTTTACTTAAGAAAAACGTGTACTTATGTGTTCTGTAGTATTATTCAAAGTATTGCCCATCTCACGCTATAACATTCTCCTATTTTTCTGGTGACTTGTGGATTCCATCCCAAAATAACCATATACAAAAACAGCTGGTTTGTCGGCCAAGAATGAATCAAGCCATCGAATAGAACAACTGGTAGTCACAAGAGGCAAGACGAGTGAGGCAAAACTTCCCAGCTGTTTTCCAAATAGCTTTTAAACGGCATTGCAACATGAAGCCGAGTTTTGCCATGATAGACACTTATTGCCTTATTTGAGTCATGAAAGTTCCGCCTTTCTTTGAATATATTCGGCTGCTTTTTAAACGTTAAATTGCTGCACAAGTGGCTCCCACAGATTCGGCGAACTCTTCTTCTTTATCAAAATCGCAAAAGATAATATGATTAAACCATATTGTGAGTGATCCGTTCGGAGGCTGATCATGTATACAACATTTTTTAGTTTTGCTGAGGTAATAGTTTTCGGCCGGATATAGTATCAATTCAGTAAACTACGAACTCACAGGTTTCGGTTTCTTTTTTTGACATTCTTTATTACTTACTACTTATAGGTCGCGGTGCATACCTCAATCATTATCTATCTATTACTTACTACTTACCAATTCTAATAGGGTTATACTTCAGAAAATAGCAACCCTTGTCCGAATAAAGCCCGCCAATTCCAGTATCGTAGAACCTGCTGATTTTGTGTGGATATTCCTATTTATAAAACAAAAAAAAAAATAAAAAATCTGAGCCTTACCTTCATACCTAATAGAAACATAAAGTATGGTTATAATTTAGTATTTTAGTAATCAGAGGCTCACAATTCTACCACGAAATCATTTTCCTTATTTCAGCTTGCTGCTTTAGAAAGTGCATATAATTCCCAAAGGAAAGATTTGCTAGCACAAAAACAAGAATTGATTTCAAAAATGCAGACACTCAATACGAAGGTAAGTAAACGCACTATGAAACTCCGTAGACATAAACAAGTCTTCGTTACAATTCAGCTCCCCGTTTTCGTCAACGCAAATGAGTTGAGGCCGAGTCTAGAGAAAGTCACCACAAACCACGATTTCACACCATCCATCGCCACAAAGCTTGATGCATTTCCTAAATTTGGAAATACCACTAATGCGGACACAGATGCGAAGCCGAAAGAAATCAGTTTCTTAGATCTTTTCAAAGAGTGGGAGTTAAAGAAACAAAAACAGTTCCAAGAGCTGGTTACCACAACTGTATATCCCGGTAGCACTCCCATAGTTCCGTATATGACTGTAAACTGTGACTCTGAAGCGGACCACACGAATACAATATCCAATAGGGGTCCAACATCCATACTGCGACGTCCAAATATTACCGAGGGTGAGGGTGGAGCTGTGATACCTAAAAAACGTGTACGTTTTGCCACACTCGAGAGTTTTGAGAGTGATTTGGACTTCATTCCATCACGCCATGCGAGCTTTAATTCGTCTAAATATGATATTGCTGCCGGAACTGGTGGAAAAATTGAAAATGATACATTTTTGGTTGAGGATAACGTGCCATCATTTAACGGTGATACTGAGACAATTGAAATTTTCAGTACCGATGAAGTCATGAGAAATGGAAATGAGAAACCACACAGTGAAGAATTATCAGGACAGAAGCAGACCAAGCCGGATTTCGTTACGGCGAAAAAATTGCTCAGGAAAGCAAGATTACTGGGTTCGCAAAGGCAAAGCAAAGTTCAGGCGATCGAAAAAAAGTCAAAAATCGAAATTCAAGAATGTCGCATCATTAAACCAGCGGGCACTAAATTGCCGACGGTGAGGTTTTTTAAAGATATACTTTTGTTAATTAATTTAATATTTGTGTTTTATAAAAAAATCAAGTTTTGGGGAAATTAATTTGAATTGTTTTTAATATTTTCTCAAAAGTTTAATACTCTTGAAACATGTTGCTACAGACATATGTAAATGATCCGGCTGACTAGACAAGTTGATTTCTGTACGTCTGTCCGTCCGTGCAAGCGATAACTTAAATATAAAAATATAATTATATTATAAAATAGAGAAATCTTGATAAAACTTCGTATACGTTCGTTGAGTTGGAATCGCACTATTGCCACGCCCATAAAACGCCATTAATCGGAAACCAATAAAGTATCACAACTAAGCTCCACAATAAGACACAAGGATTTTATTTAGTAAAACGAATTGAACTAGGAAGCAGCATCTAGGGTTTAAAAAAGTTTTTAAAAGTGGGCATGGCCCCGCCATCTAATAGGTTTAATGTACATATTTTCTAAATTCTATAACGATTTTGTTAAAAACTACTAAAAGTGCGATAAATCTATAAATAAATGCGCTCGAAACATAAAATTTTACACCCGATTTGGTAAGTATTATTCTGCTGACATTCCTACATTACAGTGCGAAAATGAGCGAAATCGAACAAGCCTACTTTTCGTATAATACAATTTTAAATTCCATGTGATTCTTTCACTTTGCAGTATACAAATCAAGAATCAATCAATGTACCTGGATAAAACTTTGCACGAACAGTGCTTTTTAGGCCTCTAATAGCATCGGTAAATCTGTGAGGTATATTGTTGAAATTTGGAGAGCATCCTTTTCTGATAATAGTATGCCTGTGTGCCGAAATGGGTTGAATCTAGTCAATACTTTCCTTACCCCCATATGCCTAATAGAAATATTTTCGAACTTCCGGTGAACTTTATAACGCATATATCGGCCAATATGTGAGTTGTCTTAATGGTGAGCATCCTTTTCTAATAATAATTTATGTTTGCGCCTAAAATAACTCTATATAAATGATATAAAGTTTTCAAACAACCGGTCGACTTTAATACTTATACTCGTATATTGGTGGTGGTTTGTAGGGTACCTCAATGAAACTCAGATAGTATCTATTTCTGTTAATACTTTGTAGTAATTCCAAAAATATGGTAGATAAAATCAGGTCAATACTACCCCTATTTCCCATATACCTAATGTAAGATCCCTCCCAACATACCTTATATAGTGATTTTCGATTTTCCAATTCCAGTTTTCTTAAAAATTATATGGGTTACCGCTGAATAAAATGATGAATGGAATTGGTCTAGACTTTGCTGACTATTCGTCTCGGTTTGGTCGGGACAGTCTGGATTTCGAGTTAAGCCGTCCCAGGCTTGAATAAAATTCTGTTACTCTCTCACATATTATGTGTCGCGATTTTCAGTGAATTATAATATCGAAAAAATCGATGACTAAAAAACCGTCCCGGTATTTGCCGAGACAAATATGGTAACCTAAGTCTAGTTACCTTGGTCTCAACCTCATATTCCTAATAAAATTAATTTTGACATTTTACATATAAACTCAATACTCGTAAATTAAATTTAGTCTCTTCGGTTGAGTTTATATCACATATTTATATTGTATCTACAATATTTTGAACATTATTTTAATATAATTTTAGTTGACGCGAAAAAATAAAGCAATAAAAGCAAGTAAATACCTATAATGATGAATGATCAACGTGACGAGCTAGGGCGATTTAGCCATGTCCGTTGTATATGTACGAACTAGCCCCTCAGTTTTTGAGTTATCGATCTGAAACTTCGCCAAGTATCGGACCGCTATAGCATATAGCTGCCATACAAACTGAGCCGTCGAATAAAGTGCTTGTATAAAGAACTTTTTCATTTGACGAGATATCTTCAAGATTTTTGATAAGGATTATTGCTAAAGCAACGGTGCAATCTCCGAAGTTATTTTTCAGATCGAGTCAGTATAGCATATAGCTACCATACTAACTGACGAAGGAAGGTCTTGTAAGTAATCTGTTGTATTTGTGAGGGGTATTATAGCTTCGGTGCAACCGAAGTTAACGTTTTTTTTTGTTTTTAAATAATTATCATTCTTAGATACATTAATTTTAATATTTCAGTATAAAATTGTATTTATTTTTTAACATTTTATATGTCTTTATTTCAAATTATTTAATGTAAATAAAAGTAATTTAATTTACTTTTTTCAGAAGTTACCCATAACATTCACACCAGAACCACAAGCCCAACCCGCAAACTCCACAATTTCAACAGAAACTTTACAGCCGACCAAGAATAACGTGTTCAAAAAACCCCAAATCCCAAAAATACGAAAGCAGGAGAAAATACCAGACGGTAATAACTTTTTCTACGACTTTCTGAAAGAATCAAGTGAGGAAAACTCTCAAACAGATTCCGAGTTAGGTCTAAACACTGTTAAAGACACAAATGATATGTTAAGCTTTGATGAGCCCAAGGGTATAAGTGTGAAATGCAAACGTAAGTGTAAGCAGCCGGCAATGGATTTTGAGCGTTTCTTCCGCGAGACTCTCAAGAGCTGCAATGATAGCAGCGCTGTTATACAGGTATCACCCACTGAAGAGGATAACGACTCCATGCAGTTCGATCTGAATTTTACTGACAATAACGGGTTATCGGATTTCTTCGCTGATCAGAAGAAATCTGAAAAAGATGATTATGTGTTGTCACTTAACTTAAGCGATTAGTCCAATGAAAAAGTAAAGCGGTAATAATGTTTCTTTGTTAAATTTTCTCTGTTTGTTCTGTCTGTGACATTTTGTAAATTGGTATTTGGTTATTTTTTATTGTTATTTTAAATATGAATTTTCTAAAAATATAGGAATTTTCTAAAAATATAGGAATTTTCTAAAAATATTGGAATTTTTTTTGTGGATCACCGACTTTGTCATCAGTAAAGTGCTAAGCCTAACCTATTTATATTCTAGATTCCAAAGGATTTCAAAAAGTTCTAAGACTCCTGTCATTTCTTAGGTTTCCACAAATCTGAAAGTGCTCCGGAATGGACCCGGATTAAGATCCCTCAATCATCAAAACTTTTTAGGAAATGTTTGCCGTCTTAACAGTTATCTTAAACGTGCTTATAAGAAGTGTAACCAACTAGTTATCGAAGTAAACTAACGGTAATTGGAGAAAATCGGCTGTTTCGACTTCCGACGGGATCGAAGCATAGATCACACGGAATTTTCTTTGATTCTGGTGATATGTTGAGGGGTTGATTGAATTTAATATGTAATGTCAAAAATCATGATCCCTGCGGAATTTTCCGGTTTATGTTGCGTGAGATGTTGGATATCGTTAAAATATGTCTTCTTGATGTTCCTGGGTACATATGTTGACACCTTCTAAAAGCTCCTGAGAGTGAGTTCCGCTAGAGACATATGTCAACATAGTAGAGATATGTGAAAGAAAGACTACTCTCCTTTTAGTGAAGAAAAGTATGGGAGAATATATTTATACGCTGAATATTTTTAGGTGACCACCTAAATTTTAAGGTAGTCAACAAGTTTGTAACACCCAGAAAGAACCGACGGAAACCTTATAAAGTATTTATATGTATATAAATAAACAGCGTGAGAGCGGTACGTCTGAATATACACTAACTAGTTTCTTAGTTTTGGAGATATCAATCGCAACTTAAAGGGTATTATGCCGCGGTGCTAACCGAAATTAACGATTTTACTTGTTTTATTTAGATCTGGTCCGAACTTATTTGCCTGGTTAATATAACAGGTAGTTGACCTGGGGGGAAATTTAGAAAGTGAAGAAAACAATGAAAAAAAAATTTTTTTTACAACAACAATGTATGTTCGATCCGAGATCCAACAAGAGCATTTCTGCCATCCAAAGGCTTCCTATGTCAGTTATTATTCAGATGAACACGACGCATTATGCAACAAAATTACAACACACACTTTTTAATGTAACTTTTCATTTTAGGTTTTTGATAAACATGCTTTTTTAATTTTACTTTTACATTTTAAATTCAATGCTTTATGTATGTATGTATGTATATATTACAAAATCGATTACTAAGAAGCAGATATAAACATTTTTTTAGATCGAACTGATCAATTTTTGTTTGCGGTTTAATGTATTGGTATATTATGCGCAAATAACTTTTTCATTTCGATAATAATTTAACAATTTATGCAATTTTAAGATGATTAGAGCTTGTTTTGCTTGCTTTGGCCAAATCTTAGTATTTCGAGTGTTATACACATTTAAGGAAAATAATTTTCAATTGTGGTAAATTTCAAGTGTTAATTTCATTGAGCACTAGATAAAATTATAATTATGAAAACAATTTAGAATTTGCATTATTTATTGAAATTTTGCAAACGCGTGTACACATGTGTTGTTTCTGTATGTATGTATGTATGTACTAATAATCATCGCCACGCGATACAATCTCTTTACATGATGGTCGCAACATAATTGTATGCTCGTACTGGGCGGTGTAGCAACCTCTAATGTCGCAAAGTGGTGGGTATGCCTCCACTACACCCTTATCGCAAAGATCCTTCAGCGCCATTTGATATTTAGTGGCACCGGCGCGATCCAACCAACGTTTACAGAACGCCAACGTGCCGAAATGTTTATTGATTGTACCAAGTAACTGTTTGGATGATTGCAAACGCAATGGTACGAACGGGGCATCGAAATTTTTCATGTAATGCGAACAATCCATATCGTCATGTACGAGACCGCGACCGGTTGAACCGAAAGTCTCGATAGCGTAGAACTCATTTTCTTCCATGCGTGTGGATTCGCCGCCCTTGACAATTGGCACGGTCTTGCCAGAGTGAATACCTGTGTACAACAAAAAAATGTAAATTTAATTATATGCCAGCACAAATAAATATATAAAGCACCGCTTGAGACTTACGATAGGGGCTGATGGAATGGCCGTTCAGATTTCTTATCGACTTGATTGGATATGTTTTGCCATCCAACTCCAGTTCATATGATTCCATAACTTCTTGTATGGCGGCGCCTACATCGCATAGACGTACATCAATACCGGCCTCTTTAATTCCAGTATTGGTGGCTTCCTTCACAGCTTGCAAAAGTTTGTCGTACTTATTGTTAAATGTTAGCGTAAAGGCGCAATCGATAATGCGTCCCTTGATGTGTGTGCCGAAATCAATTTTGCACACATCATCATACTGCAAGACAGTCGTATCACCAGCGTTAGGCGTGTAATGTGCAGCACAATGATTCAACGAACAACCGGTGGGAAATGCTAAACCGGCCTCCAACCCATTTTCGCCAATTAAACGACGTGCTGTATTCTCCAATTCTTCACAAATCTGTATCATAGTCATACCGGGCTTAATGTAACGTTGCATGTACTGCCTTGTCTGCCTATGTGCCTCTGCAGCCTGACGCAATTCCTGGTAGATATCGTTATGCATGCGATCCAAAGCACGTTTTTCTTCCGATGTAAAACGATCCTTGGCCGTACGATCATCGGGCAGATCTTTAGGTGTAGGATGTTGCAAAATTTCACCCTCCGGAAATTGTCCATCAGAGAACAGTTCTGCAATTGGTATGCTCGGTGGATCGGTTTGCACTTTCTTATTGCCGATTTTGTTTTTGTTTTTATTTTTCTTTTTAGGCGCTGATTTTTTATCGCCCTCAGTTGCATTTGTGGCGATCTCAGCTTCCTCTTTGGACTCACCGTTAGCCACCGCATTTACTGTTTCGCTATTTTCACCATCCATACCATCCGTTGCCTTTTTCGCCGCTGCCTCAGCTAGCATAGTGAGAGTGTTGTAATTTCATTAGGGTTAGGTGATCTAATTTAGGAAAAAGTCTTTATATATACATGCTGTAGCAGAACTTACCTTGTCGCAGTTTCTTATTATTTGGTTTAGGCTTCTTTTGTTTTTTCACCTCCTCACCAGTTGCGGCAGGAGCCTCGGTTGCCGCATTTTCAACGCCCTCCTCCGCATTGACTGTGGTTTCCACTTTTGTTATTTCTACTGACATTTTGTTGTATAAACAGAACAATTTCCAACTTGGTTATTAAATGAACTTTGCACAAATTAATGCTGTAAAATTTTCCGAGCTTAATGAGTGTTGCAGAAAAAGGGAATACAAAAACACGAGGTAGTTGTCAAAACGACAAAAACGCACAGTGCGAAAATATCAAAAGAAATAACAATACATTTGACAGCCGACAGTGCTGTGGTAACAGAATAAATTCTAAATTATTATTCTTTGTTTAAAATGTGTTCTTAACTATACTAAAGTAATTTTTTAGTTCATAAAAACATGATATTAGAAAAATCAAGGTAAATGTATAGTTTAGGTCCCCCAACTAAGGAGGCCTCAAAATTTAATTTTTTTTTTTAATCGTCTTTTTTTTACGCGTAGATTACAAATCCGTGAGCGGAAAGTGAATTTTTTCAATATTGTTATTTTTTTGAATGTTTTCAAAACCAGTGCGGAAAGGTGTTCAACGATCTCCGATATTCGTCCATACCATCAGATCGCGGCGCAAAGGAAATTATTTTTGAGGCCTCCTTAGTTAGGGGACCTAAGCTATACATTTACCAAAATCAATTTTTCAAAATCATATTTTGAATTATATTTATTTATTTAATGACATTATTTTGTCTGAAATTTTGTTTATAAAATATCAAAAACTACATGCAACCCTGCTTTTGTAGATAAAGCTAATTATTGGCATTTGTCAAACAGCTGAAATTGAAGAGGCAGAAAAAAAGTAAATTTTCGTATACTGTTTATATGTGTGCAACTTGTTTTATTTATTAAAAATAAATTAATTGTGATGGATGAAATACTACTTCCAACAACAACTGTCTCAACTAAGCCAACAACAAATTTAAGTTCGCAAAAGCAAACCGAACACGATGAAGTCGATTTAAAGTTATTTGACAAAGCAAAGAGCAGCAGTGATATGGAAAATCGGACACGAGATTTTGATGGTGATGGCAATGCCAATAGCGATCACTCTGGTGATGAATGTGCTAACAAGGTACGTTTTCAAGATGAGCTTGGACTGGATATGAAGGAGCTGAAATCGGAAGGTACAGAATTAAACGATGATGCGCCATCTAAAAAACAAAAAACCAAAAAGGAGTTGGAGGAAGAAGAACGTGAAAAAATGCAGTAAGTACATATGTACAAATGCATTGTGTAAAATATAGTTTTAAGTTTTTTTATGTCTACAATGTAGAGTGCTCGTTTCCAACTTCACAGAAGAGCAGCTCGATCGCTATGAAATGTATCGCCGTTCGGCATTTCCCAAAGCCGCAGTGAAGCGGCTCATGCAAACCATAACCGGCTGCTCCGTATCACAAAATGTCGTAATTGCTATGTCGGGTATAGCGAAGGTATTTGTTGGTGAAATTGTGGAAGAGGGTAAGTCGGCTGAAAAATTACTTTATTTGAAACATTTGTTTTCATGTGTACATTTACATGCGCAGCTTTAGACGTTATGGAGGCGGCGGGCGAGACTGGGGCTTTGCAGCCCAAGTATTTACGTGAAGCGGTACGCCGCTTACGACAACGTGGCCGTATGCCTATAGGGAAATTTCAAAAACCATATTTTCGCTTAAATTAAAGGCAGTTTTCTGCACAAATACGATAAATTTTAAAGTTAATTTAGCATTTTGTTAAAGTTTAGTTGTAAGTCGAGGCATGAAGATGTATAAATGTAAATTAGAAATATTAGCGAAGAAAAATGTATGTAATGTATATAAAAGTCAGTAAAATGTAGACGTGTATGCATTTGTAATATAAAGATCATTTCTTATTTGATTTGTTTTGACTGGCGCTTGTTATAATACTTTGAGGCACGAATTATTGCTAATGCAACGGGAATTTGAACTGTAGTGATTTGTAAACAAGGTTTACTAGTGTTCTTATGTGCATATTAATATTTCAGTTTACTAAAAGCGAAAAAAAGCTTAATGTTTTATTATTGCATATTAGAAAATGTATTTCAATATTCATATACTTTTTTAATTTATGCATGTTTAAGCAGTACATGTGTATAAATATAATTTTGGCTTTATATTTTTATTCAAACGTTTACTCACTAAAACTAAAAAACATACATTTTAAAATGCAAATCTGCTTTAAGCGTATCACTACCAAATTCTATGACACTTTAAAAGTAACTTAATTTTACATCTAACGAAATTTTAAAAACATAAATCTAAATAATGCACTCATTGCCGCCCTCAAGGAAATGCGGTCGACGTAGACGCCAATGTATGCGTATCATCTATAAATTGGGTGATGACTTGTGGCAGCAGCAATTGTGGCGTGGTCGTTTGTGTATAGTTGAGTGGCACAGTTGCCAAAGGCGCAGACGGTTCTGAAGGATAATTAATTTCTTGTGCCATTGGGCGATCACGATCAATTACTTCTTTTGCTATAAGCGTGTTAGTTTCCTTATAATCAACGCCAGCTTCTGGCTTAGCGCCTAAAAGTAGATTCCCCTTTTGTACGCCCATATACTGCGTCGCCTTTGCGTTGAGCGGCAGTTGCCCGCAAGTATCCGAGTGCACTTTGCGATGTGCTTGCAGGTTGGAAACACAAGTGAAACGTTTGCCGCAGCCATTGCAAAGGAAACGTTTGATGCCCGTATGCACGGTCATGTGTGTGAGCAACGATTCGCGGTAGGGATAAGCTTTCGGGCATAGCTGAGGTAGAAATAATATTTTAATATTTATAAAAAAAAACAAAAACAAACAAGCACATGCAAACAAATTTCGCGCACTTACATGACACTGAAAGGGTTTATAGTCCGTGTGCCGCGTTTTTATATGCGTTTTGTATTGTGCTTTCACCTTAAATGTCTTGCCGCATTTGTCGCACTGATAAGGCGTATCATCTTTGTGTAACAGCAAATGTGTTTTCAATATGCCCGCCGTGGTTAGATGCTTGCCACATACATTGCACTGGTAAAGCGGTTTACGTCCACAATCGGAGCGTACGTGATCGGTCAACGAGGTGCGTCCAGAGAATTTCTTACCACATTTGTCGCAAACAAAGTTTCTATTCGCCACAGATTTGCTGTCTCGCTCCTGTTCATGTTTTCTCATATGATTCTTCAACGAATCATGACCGGTCATGAATTTTTCACAAATATTACAAAATATGAGATCACGATGCTCCTTGCGCGCATGAGCAGTTGCTTCGTCCTTGGTTGCGAAATATACAGAGCAATAGCAGGGGCACTTAAAGGTTAAACTGCCGTCAGGACCTGCGCAAAAAACAAAGAAAATTGTGTATTATAAGTTCATTCAAACAGGGCTGCAAATTTTGTAAATCAAAAATTTTGGATTAAAAATTAGATTTTAAATTTTCCATTTCCAATTCCGATTTTAAAAAATATTTTCAATTTTAATTATTTAGCAAAATCGGAAATAATGTCCGCCTATCTGCCTAGATCCTCAGTTTTTAAGAAAAAAAAAGTTGCTCATTTGTCGGAACTGCCGATATCGGACCACTATAGAAAGCAGCTGCCATACAAACGAACGATCGGAATCAAGTTTTTGTATGTAAAACTCTTTCAATTGACGAGATATCTTCAAGAAATTTAACATGGATTATTGCTTAAGGCAACGGTGCAATCCGCGATGAAATTCAGATCGGACTACTATAGCATATAAATGCCATACAAACTGATCGATCAAAATCGAGTTCTTTATTAAAAACGTATTCATTTGATAACATATCTTCACGAAATTTACATGGATTATTGTCCAAGAAAACGCTACAATTTTCGAATAAATTGTTCAGATCGCACCACTACAGCGTATAGCTGCCATACAAAGTGATCGGTCAGAATTAAGTTCTTCTATGAAAAATCAAAAAGCAATATTTGGCAAAATATCTTCACAAAATTTGGCAAATATTATTATCCAACGCATCGTCACAATCTTCGAGAAAATTGTTCAGATTAGACTGCAATATGATCTAACAGCCATACAAACTGAACGATCAAAATCACTTTTTTGTATTAAAAATTTTTTATTTGTGAAGGGTATTATAGCTTCGGTATTACCGAAGATACCGTTATATCTTCTTTTTAAACAATATTTTCAACACGGCATTTAAAGTCCAATTTTGTTTTGCTCACCATGCATTTTAATGTGATTGGTTAAACGTTTCTCCATCAAATATATTTTCGCGCAAATATGGCACTTGAAGACCTCACCATCATTAATGGTAATTTCTTCGGTTTTAAAAGTCTCCTTTATCTCCTCCTCCGGGCGTTTATGATCGTCACGCAAATGCTTCTCAAAAGGTTTGCGTATGTGGTATACTTTTATGCAATATGGGCACTGCCAAGGCTTCTCACCACGTTTCGATAGCTTCAAACGCGCTTTCAATTCCTTTTGTGAAAGCTTAGCCATACGTCCTGATTTACTTGTTTTTGCAGTAGTTTGCTTATCTTCCGCCTCATCATCACAGGCGGCCGCATTTTCTACATTTTCATCACCATAAGTAAGCAGATTTAAGTCTTCCGTCAGTTGGCGTGGCTTTCGTCCACGTTTCCTGACCTTTGCATTTTCTTCAATTTTCGCCTCTGCAACTTGTTTAATGCTCTTACGTGATTTTTTGGGTACATCCACTACATTGTCCAGCTCATCTGAATTATTTGCAAGTTCATTGTTCGCATCTGCAGCTTGTTGGTGTCGTCTGGGGAGCGGAAATGGCACAGCATTGCGTGACACTTTCACACTCGACTCATCTTTCAATGCGGGGTAACGTTGGCGTACATCTCGCAGCATTATTTTACAAGACGCAAGTGGCGCTGTCAAATGCTATAGAAAATATATACAGTTTATTGTAAAAAGAAACTAATTTCTTATTATATTCAAAACTCACATCACTATCAACGTCTAAAATGTCCGTCTCCTCCACATAGTTGGCGCTGTTCTCCGCTTTGATTAATATTAATTCAGTCTCATGTAAGCCCGCTTGCTCTCTTTTCATAACGCTTTGCGTTGTCTTTTCTTTTAACAGCGAATCGTGAAGTTTATCTTTATTTTTGAAAATACTAGCATCTTCTGATTTGACTTCGAACTCGGTGCCAACAAACTCACGCGAGTCAATAAACTCAAGCTCGTCATCATCATATGCATTATCTATATAAGTCTCAACTCTTGCCGGGTTTTCTTCTTTTAATTTTGAAAGCGCTAATTGTACATTTTCTTTATGATCGTCTTCACTACCGCTCCCTTCGGCTAGGTCAAAATCGACGTAATCTCCGTAATCATTTTCCGAGTCTGTTTCAAATTTACCGATTTCAGTAACTGTTTTATCTTCCGTACCATTTTTGAAGCCCGGCGGCGGAGCAGTGTTTGCTGCTTCCTGCGGGTCTATTGTTGTGGCAGTCTCAAGTGCGTTAATTTCCACTTTTTCAACACTTTCATTAGACCATTCCTTCTGCTCAAAATCGTCGTCCTCTTCCGTATCAGTAGTGGACATTTTGCGCTTTCTTTTGCCAGGTCTGTCATTTGCGCGATTTTTAGCGTTCAAATTTGTGGGTGTAGTAGCGTCAACATCCAACTTTGCGTTTGATTTACGCACTTGTTCTTTATGATCTGGCCTAATTATGCGATTGGAATTGTTTACTTTTATTTCTGAGGTAGGATTGAGTGTTGGTGGTACTAAAAAGTATTTGTTATCATCAGTAATAAAATTATTATCACATACACTACATGTAGACTTACTTCTGTGCCGATGCGTGCGCGTGCGCTGTTTGGGCGGATCGAATTCTGGTTGACCACAGGTGTCGGGTCGCGTACGTCGATGTTTTATTAAATTGGAATGACAGGAGAAACGTGTAAAGCAGCATTTACATTCAACCAAACGGACACCGGTGTGTATCGAGGAATGCGTAACAATACTTTCTCGGTGAGCAAAACACTTGCCACAAACCTAAAAACTATGTAAGTTAAAATCCATTAAGCATATATAAATTATTTTCTACTAACATCACACTTGTGCGGCTTCTCGCCCGTGTGCGAACGTTCATGTTCCACTAAACGTCCTTTTTGCAGAAAATTCTTACCACAATAGCTACAACAGTATTTCCGCTCGCCAGTATGCAGCACCATGTGTTGTTTAAGATTATATTTTGTTACGAAAGTCATTGAACACTGTTCACATTTATGTGGTTTAATTTTGCCACATTCCGTTTCTATATGGCGTTTGTATGGATAAATTGTTTTATATTCGGCGCCACATTTGTCACATTTCAGCATTTCCCTATCGATGCCATTATGTATGACGCGTATATGCTCACGATAGTCATTTTCGCTTGTAAACGTGACTTCTGTACACAGTCGGCACACGATTGTTGTATGCACTTTGTCCCGATGCCTCTTCAATTCTTCCTCAGAACAGAAACGTTCGTCACAATAGCGACAGAGAAAGCCGCCAGGTGGCTCATGTTTCTTAACATGTTTCACATAACCGCTTAGCGACACTAATGCCTTATTACATACAGGACAATGTAGTTTGGGTACACCATCGGTGGTCAATTGCACTAACATTGATTTGGTGGCTGTTGTAGTTGGTTGTGGAGCTGGTGTTGCTGCAGTTGTACTGGCATCTGTCATGTTGGAAGCTGTGGTATCGCTCATATGCGGTACGGTTGCTGAAAGCACAGTACGAACAATATATATTTAGCGCTCAAGGGTTGAAAGGTTTAGAAGTTCTAGTGTAGGACACCCATAAATAAAACTTAAATTTTTTACATAAAATTCTTTTACCACATTGAATGCACTTACTCATATTAATTACATTAACGAAATCAAACTTTTTTAATCAAACACCTGGTGCTCACCGAATTACACTCTTTATTAAAATTTTTGCTTATTTAAAGTCTGACTTGCATCCATGCACAAAACGCAAATTTATGTTTAGTTATTTTGTTGTGTTTTCCATGTCTACGCGTTCTTTTTAGTTTCAAACGTGCCAATACGATAAAAAAAATGTAAACAACTATCGCACTGCAAAAAATTATATATGAATTTTTCATAAGTTCATGTTTCACCAAATACACTACACTTTTAAAATTTTGTATTGGTGAAAATCTATGCTTATCAAATTTTCTACACTTAAAAAATCTGCCCGTCTGTCCACTGGCACTGCAAAATCAAAGATGGCAGACTGCACAAAGCAAACGTCAATTTCGTTGTGTGTATTCATTTCATTTGATTTTCCAATTGGGAGAGCACTGAGCGAAATACGGCGCTGCCAGCAGTAAGTTTCGCAACGGACTGTTTTAATGAAGAAAGTGGGTACATGCCGAAAAATTTTAGAGAATTTTGTAACATAATTATGTAAAATTTTTATTTATATTGGAAAATTATTTGTTGTTTAATTACTATTTTACTTTGTTAGACAGTTTCTGATCATATTTAAATAAATGTATTATATTAGAATTTTATTATCACTGTCCAAAATAGGTTTTTATATTTACTTTGCCATCAGCAATTATGCAACAAAAAACATAAATTTTTATGGTTAGGGCTCTATTTGCTCTATAAGTGACTAAAAGTTCTTAATTCGATACTTACAAATTGCTTATTTCATATTGATATTTATCTATTAAACCACCCATCAATTGTTTATGCTGTTTCAATTTACTTAAAAATAATTAATCAGGGGTGTTGTAGAATCTGATAGTTGTCGGAATCAGAATTGAAACCGATTAAAAAATGTAGTAGGTGTCATGAATTCAGATATTATTGGTTTGACGTTCGAAACAGAAATTGTATCGGTTTTGGGTGTCACGGAAACCAATAATCGGTTTTGTTATCAGAAACAAAACAAGAGGATTTTTGCTGACAGATTTGAAATGTAAGTTAAGAAAATAATTTATATTATTGTTACGATTTAATTTATCCTGATTTCAATAGGTTAAAATATAAGAATAAAACAAAAAATGTCATAATTATCGAGTTTATGGAAAAAATCAAGATATTTTAAGAGAATTTACAAAACGTAACAAACGTAATTTAACACCCAAATGCGTTTTTCTTTATTCAGTCGATAATGTGATATAAATCTGTAATTGTCGATATCGCTTAAATAACCTTCCTTCTTAGAAATATATGCATAATTGAAGAATCAGTGCATTATTTTATTCAACCAAATATTTGCTCCCATTTCAATTTATTTCTTTAAGCAGAAAAACCAGCAATTTTTTCAAATTTATTTTATTTTTTATTAGTTACTCGTAAAAAGCGTTTCATTTAGTCAGCGTAAATACTTATAGTTAATTTTTTCGCTATTCCTACATCAAGTACATATAACATCGCACCTACATACGTACGTATTTTGTAATACATATTTATTAAACACTAAATAATATTGTCTAACTTCTTAAGCGAATAGTTCACAAACCTTTGAGTATTTGCGTATATAAAACGCCATTCTTTTAATTATTTCACTTAGTTTTCGTTTTTATCTTTTTGGTCTCACAGCTTATAAAAGGTACATACTTAAAAATTTCATATTTTAATTAAAAATTTAAATATTTTTTCGTTTTCACTTTTTAGTTTGTTAATTCTACCTATATACCTTAAATAATTCAATAATACTACAAGCATACAAAAAAACTATTTACAAACAGCACTTATGGTAACACCTATACAACAAACACACCTTATTTGTGACTAGTTTCCTTAAAAGAAAATCAGTTTCACAAATTTTGCAACTCATGTCTGACGATTTTGTCTATTATTCTATCGTTTATCACTTCTTTCACATTAACCGACCACAAGAAGTCATAGTGGTTCCAGTCGTCATAGGGTATACGATAGAGTTCCACGCAAGGCAGCAGTGTTGCCAGATATTCCACATCCTCAACGGCGGACATGTAATCATTGTTGCTGTAATACATATTTACACAACTGGATATCTCGTGGACATTATAGGATGGCGGTGTCTCCTGTTGGTAGTACTTCTTATTCAATTCGATGCCGTGATCGTATTGACGGAAATCACCGGATGTGTACAGCTGCAAGTAGTGAATAATTTGTGTTGTGGAAGCACCAGCGGGATGTGTTTCGCAAACGTGTGGCAGCAGTGTCTACACATAGAAATAATAATTTAAAAATTATTTAAAAACTTAAATAAATTTTTTTAAGTGTAATGTAAAATAAAATATAAAAATACAAAGAGAAAATATTTAAATAAAGTTTTCCTCAAATATGTGTGATGAAGTTCTTCCATTCTTTGTCAGTGCAACGAAAAATAAGATATAAAAACAAGTAAGGAAGGGCTAAGTTCGGATGTAACCGAACATTTTATACTCTCGAAAAGTCAAATGGTATACTCGTTTGAGATTTCTTTGTGGATTGACTGATATTTTCGGTAGATTTTTTTAACTGCAGATGCTCCTCCCTAATGTGATCCTTTGTACCAAATAACAGTCTTGTATCTTATTGCGGAGCTTAGTTATGGCAATTTATTATATTTGTTTTTGATTAATGGCGTTTTGTGGGCATGGCAGTGGTCCGATTACGACCATCTGCAATACCAACCGTCTTACGGCACCAAGAAACATGTGTACCAAGTTTCATGAAGATATCTCAATTTTAGTCATGTTACAGCTTGCACGGATGGACGGTCAGACGGACAGACAGTCACCCGGATTTCAACTCATCTCTTCATCCTGATCATTTATATATACATAACCCTATATCTAACTCGATTAGTTTTAGGTGATACAAACAACCGTTAGGTGAACAAAACTATTATACTCTGTAGCAACAAGTTACGAGAGTATAAAAAGAAAAAGTTAAGTTTTTCTCAAATATGTAACAGAAAAAAATACTTTATTTCAGTGTAATGTAAAAGAAAATACCAAAAATAGAGAAAAAGCAATTAAAAACGGTTTTCCTTCCTTTTAATGAAAAAACAAATTCTGTGTAAATATATTAATGGAGCCAAATAGACGGCTCTTTTAAATTTTTGTAATCCACAGATATTGCGGATATATGAAAGAACTCCGAAGTCTCTGGAATTTATAAGATAATTTGTATGAAGTTCTTCCACTTACATGATTTAAATGCCGTGTACCCCAACCGCCAAGAAAATCTAAAATTCCCGAGCAAAGAAATCGAAATCTAGATTCCGCCGAGCACACATATTCACATAAAAGCTTCTGCATGCTGGTAATCGGCAGCAACTCCATACCGCCCAGTACCCAACTCAAAAACGAGGGATAACCCAAGAAGAGTCCACCCAATTTCGAGAGCATAAACGAATGATTACGCATAAATGCAATGGGCGCCAACAGATGCACAGTCTTCACTTTCTCATTGTACCACGGCAGTGTGGACATGAGCACGAAGAATGTGGTGGTGCCTTGTGAATGCGCTACAAAATGCAACGCTGTATCATTTGTTTCGACCAATACATAATCCAGCATTGAGGCTAAATCGAAGACGCCGATTTCGTGCCAACTGAAATTCCAGAAATCCGACGAATCGGGATGTTTGTATTTGTGCTGACGCGAGTATGTATTGCCACGTGCATTGCCCAGCCACACATCATAACCGGAATCGGCGAACATGTACGCCAGCGAAGTGTCTGGCCCGTTGAGTATCCAATCGTCGGAGGCGCAGAGTATGCCGTGCTGCAGAAAGACGACCGGTTTGGAGGTGCGTGCAATGGCCGTTGAGTTGGCTGTGCCGCGCAATTTTGGTGAATCGGGTATTCGATATACAGTTAATATGTAATCGTCGGGTGTGTGTACTGTATGCTCTTCGACCGGATAATTGTGGTTGGATATCATTTTGGCCTGGAAGAGAGCAAAGAGAAAAATAATGGTGGATTAAAGATTGCAATTTAGTGCAGTTATGTTAGATTAGAAATATACATATGTGTGTCTAAATTAGGTTCGATATGAAAGTTAAATGAAAGTGATCTTTAATTTAGTTGAAAATAATTAGGTACGAAGAAAACGAAAGAAAGAGTGCTCTCATGAAATGTTCAATGAGTTTTTTTTATTATTTTGTTGAGAACTTAACTTATATTTTTTTTGTCTATATAGCTTTCAAAAATACAGATTTACTATACAAGTACGTATATATGTATTCATATATATATACTCGCTTACATAATAATTTAATGTGGCTATGCTGCGCTATTTTAAATAATATAGGAGACGGAGATTGTGTTCTAAAATTAATTTAATTATATTTTTGTTGCAAATTTTATTATGTATAATTTTTAATAGTTAGGTGTAAGCACTTGTCTAACTCAAGCAAGCGTGTTAGAAGTAGAGGTTAATGGGATTAATCTGGCTTGGTACTATCCAAAGGTTAAAATCTCTTTGTGAATTTATTGACAATTAGTTTAAATAGAATTACAAATTAATGTTTGCACATTTAAGTATAACATTAGAAATATTCAAAATTTTTTGAAATACAATTTTAAGATAATGGAAAAGTACAAATCCAGAAAAAATATGTATGTAAGTATTTATACCCTGAGCGGGGTAAGAAGTTCATAACACGTCATAACAACCAGAAGGAAACGTCGGAAACCCTGTAAAATGTGCTATATACATATAGTTATAGTAAATATATATGTATATAAATGATTAGCGCGACGAGTCGAGTCAATTCAGATTTTACATCTTTTCTTGGGGATCTTTTCTCCCCAAGAAGCTGCTTATTTGTTAGAACGGCTTATTTCGGACTACTACAGCATATGTATATGTAGCTGCCATACAAACGGACCGATCCAAATCAAGTTCTTGTATGGAATACTATGACGCTTATTTAACAAGATAGCTTCAAAAAATTTGGCAAGGGTTATTATCCAAAGAAGAGCTAGAATATCTGAAGAAATTGTTTAGATCGGATCACTATATCATATAGCTGTCATACAAATTGAGCGGTCAAATTCAAGTTCTATTTTATTTGTGAAGAGTTACACCGAAGCTAACGTTTTACAATTTTTTTAACTTGTTAATAAAGTATAAAAAAAATTTTAAATAAAAAATTCATCACTTAATTTATTTTTAGTTGTTTATGAAATCAATTACTAGAGTTCGGAATTTTTATTTTTTGAATATAAAATATTAATATCAAGTTATTATTAATCCTCCTTATATATTTATTAAATTGTATTCCATTTAATAATTTTTGTGTTTTTTGATTTTTAAACTGAATTTAAGAATATTTTTGCTTTTATTATTTAAATTAATTGAAATCCTTGAAACCGAAGGTATCAGTTCATAAACCCGTTGGCCATAATACTCGTAAATGAAACCTTACATAGTATATTTTTATGGTATTTATTTGCATACCGAAAACTTGTTTTATTTTTAAAATTTCATTCATGTTAGATTGCGTGTTACAAGGTGCAAAAGCTAATGACCTCATTAAATATTAAAAAAAAATTAGTAATAATAATGACGCATTCCATTTTAATTAAATATGCACAAGAGTCATTAAATTTGCATTAAACTAAATGCACAAGCTATCACTAGTCAGTCATTACATCACAAAAAAATATGAATAATGTAAAAAGTAACTACATAAACGTATGTAAAGTGTTTAAAAAGAATACGCCAGAAAAGACGCAATTTAAGTACACAAGTTCACAAAAAAATTATACAACAGCGCCATATTAAAATATGCGTCCATACAAACATACATAAGTATGTGTATACATATGCATATGTATGCAAAAGTCATCTCATCTTCGCCAAAAATTCGCACCATAAAACAATTTCAAATTGACGATTACTAATCAAAAGCCAAATCAAGTGCGAAAACCACGCAAGCAGAAAAATAAGAAAATAAATACAGAAAAAAAACCACATATGGCGCATTACACATGCAGAATGGCGTGTGCGCGGTAATGGGTGCGCAGGGGGCTCGACCCAAAGTCCAAGCAGCACGCGGCGAGTCGAGCAATTTAAAATTACGGCAAAGGTGCCAAAATGTATGCGACAATTTATAGTAAAGGGAAGTATAAAAAGATAAAAAAAAACGAGTGGAAGTACACAAATAGATATAGTACATATGAATATTTATAAGGTAAAGTAAAAAAGTAAATATTTGTATATATTTATTCTAATACATACATAAGTATGTATGTATATACATGTATAGGTGTGGCTGCATCCAAATTTATTTGCAAACACCTTTGTCACACTAGCTACTCAAGCTCAGTTGAGCTTTGCTCGCACCTCTTTGTGACGTAGCATGTTCATACAACTAACATTATTGGCGTATGTTTTTATGTAAATATTCACGTGCCGGGCACTCTTGAATATTATTTGATTATTTCTTTTAGTTATTATTTTATTTCCTACTTTTCGGTGGCGTTTTTGTTTTATTTATCGCGCTGTTATTATACTTTTTTGTTCTCTTATCAAACTTCAAGCACACGAGAGTACTCAGCTGTGATTAATTTATCTTCAATGATTTATATATATACAAGTATATATATATTAATAAAATATTTTGTATTAAAATATTGCACATATGTATATATACATATGTACTTATATACATACGAGGTGTGTTCAAAGTAAGAGGTGAATTTTGATTTTTCGCGGGCTGTGTACATTCGATTATCGATATTTTGTTTTTGTTAAAATCGGACACATATGTTTATCATATGCTTGCATTAGTAGCCAATTTCGATTAGTAGTTTGTTTTTGACAACAGAAAATGTTAGTCACGTTTTTGTGTGTTTTTCGATTTTTGACTTTGTTTTTGCTAAATTTTGAGCAAAAGCAATGTCGCATTAGTATCGCTCAGGAGTTGTTGAATGACGTCAACAACGATTCGGGTTTGCACAAACGGGTCATCACTGGTGACGAAACGTGGGTATATAGTAATGATGTCGAAACCAATGGAAGCTGCTAGATGAGCCAAGCCCGAAAAGGCACGCCAAGTTCGATCAAATGTGAAGGTTTTGTTCACTGTTTTCTTTGATTACAATGGTGTGGTGCATCATGAGCTTCTGCCAAAAGTTCGTCCAGTTATTAAGAAATACTACAAGGAAGTTATACAACGTTTGCGTGAAGCAATAGGGCTCAAAGGATCGGAATCGTGGAAAAACAAATCGCGGATTCTGCATCACGATAATGCACCTGCTCACACATCAATGCTTATTCATGATAAAACCAAAACCGTAATTATTCCTCGTATTCACCAGATTTACCTCCTTGCGACTTTTTCCTATTCGAAGAAAGACCTGATGGCCAAAATTCACATTTTCCTTTGAACACACCTCGTATACATACATATGTACACAGTAATATATTTTATCAATACTTAGATTCTAATAAGTATATCACACTAATATTTTTTTAATAAAAAAAAAATAAATTAAATGAATTTGAATAAAATATTAAAAAAAGTTTTGCAATAAAAATCATTATACTTGTGGAATTACGTTTACTACAAGTCATACGGACTACTAACCTAATTATAACAACAAATATACATACATATATACTTGACAGACATATGTATGTACATACAAGAATGTAGGTACTTGTGTGGTAAATAGATTAAATCAAATCAGACTTTTATAATTTATTAAACTTATGTACATATGTATACAATAATCACATAATCCTCTGTAAATTTACACTTTATATTATTTTAAAAAATAATTTAGCGATATACAGATGTGTGAACATAGTATGTATATTTTATGTACAAATGTTTATATGTAAGTATGTATGTGTATAAGGAAGACCCTCACATCGTTATAATAAAATGTTTTGCGCTACTTTCACAACTTTAATATTTGATATAATTTGCGCACAAGTATGTATATATGTATGTATGAAATAGTATTGTAGTAAATATATTTCTGTACTTATGTACATATGTATATATGCTTATTCGATTAATTTTCATGTTAAACCAATAAAAGAATTAATTTTATTGCAACACTTTTTCACTAATCAAAAAATTTGTAGGCTAGTTTGGTCTAAACACCTGCAGACTATTTGTATTCGCAATGACTAAAACGCTAGAAATCAATTTATGTCTGCACTGCCGAGCGAGAAAATACCAGCGATATTTTGAGGCGAAATATAGCACTATTTTATGACGAAAATAATTTGTTATATTAGTTGCTTTTTTAACCAAAAATACTAAATGTACATTAATTTAATCTTTAATAAGATAATTTATAATTTGATAAGCGAAAAATACAGAATTTTGCCAAAGGCAATAATAAATTGGGAAAATTAAATAACTAAATATGATTGTAAAAACATTACTTTATGGTGATGGCATCTGGTTTAAAGTATAAAATAAAAATTTTGTTATGATTTATCTTAGCGCAAATAATTCCCTGCCTTATATGCAGTTTTCGTCTAGTAAAATTGTTTTTTCTCAGAACTTCATATACTTCTGATATCGACTTAATATTAAACCCGAAAAACTTCACAAAAATATCACATGATATAACAAGCAAAAACAACTATGTATATATCTAAATTTGTGTACAAGCTTTGAGAAATTAGTTTGCCATCGCGTTCAGAGACATTTATACATGTACGTATTTACGTGTATGTACGTAAGTACATACAAATGTGAATGGCCATCGTGACATTGGTAAATTAACACAGATAACACACATAATTACATTCATACAAAGGCATGTGTATGTACATATGTATATTATAAAACCTGGTACGTATTTATAATTTTCTTTTGACGCACTACAAACTTTTTTTCGATAGTTTCCTTTTTAGATAAAGTGGCGTGAGACTTTTTCGCAAAGGAGCAAAGTCTAAGAGGTCTAGAGTAATTTATG